ACTCATCTGAAACCCCTATAATAGGGTTGTAGGTGAGGCACTTTTCAACATGTTAAGAACTGGAATTGAGAACTAAGTTTCCATCTGATATGCTTTAACTTGTCGGATCACGACGAAACTTGGTGGCTGTCCTTAGAAACGAATGTATTGGTCTGAAGGCCAAAATCAAAGGTATTCGGCTTATTTCCCTTTACTTTTAGACGATGTAAATTGTAACAGATGATTAAACCTCTAGAATTGTTTCATTCATAGTATATGAATATTAAAAACCTGTGTTTCTATGATATGGAATACATATGCGAATTTCACCCCAAATGTGATGTCCTCTGATCTTTGTGTAATTGTTTAAATATTTTAATCAATTTAAGCATCGCACTTTTTGGAGCGTCCAGGATTGTCTGAAGAGGGTGTATTGAAATATCACCTTAAGACGACACGATTTCTCTTCAAGAGCAAGGAGAGCCAATAGGTAGGCAGTGATATGGTTTTTGGGGTCACCTTTCTCATTGAACTTGCTTTTGAATTTAGGAAACATGAAATCGTGGGAAGGGGTTCGACGTCTCCAATGCTATCTTTAACATAAGACCTTGGTGGGAACATATTAGGGACTCCAATCTTAGTAAAAGTTTCCTTGAATGTTGATAATTTGCCTTTCAGATGGACGAGTTCAGCTGATTCAAGAGTTTTAGCCACAGTAGCCTATTGGTTGCCCACAACTGATGGCATGGTTTGAGGTATAGGACAGACAGTCGAAGTGGTCTGCACTAGACTAGAAACAAGATCATCCTGAGCTTACAAAGTGGTTGGAGTCGAGTTAAAAGGTGGCACGGGTGAAAAAGCCTAGGCTGGGATGGATGGAACCAGATAAGGAGATGGTGAAGGGTAGTATGGGTAGGTCAAAGGGGCGACCTGAACCAGTGGAGCAAGGGGCTGATAAGCCAGTACCGATGACTAAAAGTGGACTACTGGGGTAGGCTATTGAGGATGCCCCACATAAGGATGGCTAGAGGCCAATGGAAGAACTGAGAGAGGTGGAGCCGACTGGTGTACTTGGTTAGGAGGTTAATATGTTGGCACAGGGGCTGAATAGGCCACCTGAGGGTGATAGTATATAGCCGGCGCATCCTGGAAAGACCGCAACGGCGGGTGGTGATGTGTGGCATGAGGAGGGTTAGCCCTAAGCTGAGGGTTTTGAGAAAGATGGTCACGTGGTAGAGTCAGTGCTACAGGAGGTTCGAGATAAGAGGTCCAGCGATACCGACTCATCGACGAAATAAAACTAACATGATTGTACTGGTCAGGGGTAGAGGGAGTCCCCTGAACATGACTCGAGCGATGGCCTGAGACCTGAGTTGGGACATGGGGTTCAACCAGGCCAACACGCTTCAGGAAGGCCTTCACCGAAGGTAAGTTCCTGAGGCACTCGGTTGAGAAAGACTCATAAAACTCGAGACTAAGTTCGAGATCGATCCTAGGAGACTTGGGGTGCATGGCCCCGTTGGGTGAACCATGATGGCTCAGGTTTTGACTCCTTGAGCATCTAGAATAGGTTTTTAAGGGACCCTCACCATGTTGGGCCTAACTTTCTCCTTGGGTGGGTTGTCTCAGGTCTAGTTGACCCTGTGGGTCAAGCGAGTTTGGAGGAATTAGGGTCTCACCGATGGTGTGAACCTTGGTGGTCTTTCCCTTAGACCTAGACTTTGATAGAGGGTGCAACCTTGGCTCATTAGCTTCGGGTCGGATGCCCTGAACTATTCAAGGTGGTGCGAGCCATGCAAACCCGTTGGATTGCTAGGCTTGACTATATGGGAGATATGTTAGGTAGATTAAGCCTAGTATATGGGACTATGGACCCACTGGAACCCGATTTGGACTAATCTGGAGTAGGGTAAGCCTAGGGAACTGAGCCAAGGGGCCCTACAAGTCAACCCAGCTTAGGGGATCTAGAAGAGGCAGTGGACTCGGTATCCGAGTCACCTCAAACTACATACATGACTAATAAACCTAGGATGAAATAGAGTAAGCAATCGAAAATGGTTTGAAATAACTTGACCTAGACTATAAGTAGGCTGGATCTGGTGGGTTTTTTAACTAAGTAACAATCTGAAATCAATTAGGTTTGATAGGGCCCATGTAAGATCCGGTTACAATTGTCTGCGGAGTCCGGTCCTAACTATTGTGGGCTTGTTTCATGATTAGACTTTCCCTAGGGGATGCTTTGCTTCATCTTTGGCAGATTCCCAATGCTCCGTGCTCGAAACTAGGTTCTCACATGACTTAAGTGTTGGTGTAAGAGTTTTCGAAAATTTGAAGATTTTAGGGTATGTTTGAACGTGTGAATAAGTGTATAAGATCAACACTTGGTGGTGTGTGTGATAAGTGTGGTCAAACAAGCACCTGCAAACAAGCCTATCTACTTACGCAAGAGATAAAGCTGAAAATAAAACATTTAATCTAATGAGATAAGATCAAATATCCTAGACTAAGTAGATAAAATTTTAAAAAAATAAAACAAGATTAAGTCTAATCTAAAAGATAAAGTAAAGAAAAATGTAAGTCCTATCTTTTTTTCTTTTTTGACATAAAAGATAAAGATCTTTTAAAGAGATAAAGCAAAAAATTCTAAGCTCTTCTAATAAGACTGAAAACAGATAAGATCTAATATGAAGTGATAAGGAAAAGAAACGACCTAAGCTCTATCTCTTTTTTCTTTTTCTTTTTTTATTTTATATCCTTTTTCTATTTTTTTATTTTTTTAAAATTTTATTACAATAAAACAAGAAAAACAGAAAGTCAAGAATCATAGGGAACTGAATCAGTGCGACACACGGAATCTCGCATGGCCCAACACGGGCCGCTTCACCCAGATGAGCGCGACGCTGGATGTATCCACAACTCGACACGGTTGTGTCACAAGAGATCTCATATCAAACTCTGAGGTTTTTTCGGGTGTTTTTATGGCATTTTTTGATTGCGATGATTTCTGTTTGTCTAGAAATAAGCTCCTGTAAAATTTCAGGAAGCGTTTCAAGGCATAAATACAGGTCGAGGGGCCCACGGTGGGTGTCAAACCATTTATGCTCATATTTGTGTTGATTTTAGACTGATATCAACACAAATATCATGCATAATAATTTTTAAAGATCAACAGAGAGAGTGGGTCACTAAAATTATAGGCTAAAAAACATTGCAGATTTATGCAGGTCCGGTTCTTTTCTGAGTCTATGGGCAATGCCAACTTTGGAATTTGTGTGTAAGGCCTTTGAATGCTTCTAAGATTTAACTAACTATAAGATTAAAGGAATTATAGAGAAATAAATGAAAACTAAAAAAAAAAAAAAGAATAATTTAAAGGAAAACGGAAGAATTACTAACCACCAGAAACCCGGAGTTCTGAGCTCAGATCAGGCTGCTCTTCTCTTGCCACCATCTCCACTTTTAAATGCCATTTGCTTGCTAAAATTTGTAGGATCTAGTGCTCTTTTGCTTAGATATAGGATTTCTAAGGCTTAGAAAGGGGGTTCAGGATCTTAGGTGGGGTTTTATCTAATTTTTTCTAAGGTCAGGAAATAGTTTTTCCTAATTTTCTAATGAATTTGGGGTCTCCTAACTTTTAATATAAATTTTGGGTTTTTTTAGTATTTTTTGGTGAATTTCCCTGATTTTTTCTAATTTTTTAGGATTTATCAAAGGGTTTTTCCTATTTTATGGGATTTATCTACTAAATTATAGGCCTATGAGGTATTTTCTATAGATTGTTTTCTAGGGATTTTACTGTATTTTTATTATAGTTTTATTGTATTTTTCTGGGATTTTAGAGATGGTATTTGTAGGTTGACCTAGGGTTATGGTTGAAAATTGACTAATTTTATCCAAGGGCCTAGATTTTGACAAAAAGGCTTGAAATTTTGTAATTTTCTAGAATATTTAGTTAAAATTGACTAAAAAGTGTTTATCTCAAATATTGGGTGAGAAATCCACCGCCCCAAGGCCATCAGGTCATGCGACAAGCGGCCCGGGGGAGGGGGCATCTTGGTCATTTTTACCCTTGGTCTCTCTGAGGCTTCTAACTTCTAATCTATAAGTCTGATTTGAGTGAGTATTGGACTATTGGAAAAATCTCGGGGTCTACTATGGCTTAGGAGAGGTTTTGGAAGATTTTGGGACAATTTAATTGGGTCGAGGTGTACTAGGGTTCACTAGGGTATGTGTGGTCCTTTGGGATTCAGAATCAAGATTTGTAGGAATTCCCTAAACCAAAATTTCGAGGGGGGGTCAATAGGGTTAGCTTTTAAGTTTTATTTTGTAAAGGTATCTTATCAAAAAAATTCAAAAAGGCACCTTATTAAAAGCAGAACAAGGGCTTCCAATGAAAAAGTTGACCACCCCCACCCCCACTCCTAAACCCTCTCAAAAATAAAAAAAGAGGACCTCTAACTATTTTCTACATTGAACATGAGTAATTTATGAGTTTTTGTAATTTTCTTATAAGATCTCCCTTATGAAATGAAACATAAAAAGTAAACCCTATAGTTGATCCCTAAAATGATTTTTTTAAGATAATTTGAGTTTTAATGATATTTTTCCTATTTTTAATAAATAGGACTTACACGAAAAGAAATAATATATTTTCACAACCAATATGACGTATTACAATAATTGGCCTATTGATTCTATGGGCAAAAATATGCATACTCCCTACGAGTAATAGGCTTACTTATTGATATTGTTGTGGTTTATGTTTGTCTAAGGACATTGGGTGATGAGTGGTTACTGCCTTTTTAAAGGTGCCCTATTTTTCATCTCCAATAGTTAAATGTATTGCCAAATGTTAGCGTTTGATGTTGGGTATGAGTGCCCAAATATGACACTGTATGAAGCATAGTATCATAGTATCAGGTCCCACATTAATGCTTATGAATCAAAATGGCCATAAAAATCCTAGATGGGCTAAAACTAAAAACATGAAAATAGGCTAGATACTTTTTACTGCACAAATATACAAATTCTATAATGCATATTCTTGTAGCACAAAGTCAATCAAACATTATGGGGAGAAGGTATAAAATTTGCAAGAAACTTGGTAAGAGATAAAAGTATGGATTGTGCATTTCACTTCAGAAATGCTCCTTTTGTGGGTATCTTCATAAGTCCACAAAGTGTGGTACCATATTCCTAGTAGAAACTCTTTCATCGAGAACCCATGTTTTAACCTTAAGCCAAAAAATGAACTTGACACATATTAAGCATCATGGAGTTGGAGGTGCCTTTCTTCTATGGGTCCATCATCGCCATCACCATCACTACGACTATTGGCTAAGACTGAGGTGAAACAAGGTGGTGAACCATCTTCACTGTAGAGTCCTTCAGCATTAACATGGAAGCTCAACGGGCACTCTGAAACTGTTGGGGGCACGATTAACTTTTTTGTTGTTCTCTATTCTTCCCTCTTTCCATTGTTTTCTCTTGAAAGTATGTGAAGAAAGGTCCATCTCATCATAATGTTTAGCCATGTGAATGATTCTCTGCCAAAAGCCTCTGTTCACCGGTGTCGTTTCACTTACAATTCTATTCCAGTGCTCATTGCAAAGGCCAACGAAGAAAACGATTAGGGCCCCAACAGAAGCGGTTCCAACGATGAGGAAGAGGCCCCAAAAGCTATCTAGGCTCAAACCCTTGGAGGAGTCGGAACTTGACCAGCTTGAACTCGTATTTTGTTTGCGAAACCATTTGCTCTCTAGTGAGGCCATTGTGTCTCCTTCTGTTACTTTGAGGACAGCAGAGGAAATGTCGGAAAGTAGTGGGGAGTTTTTTGGAAAGACCTGAGATGTAGATGTTAAATGGTTAATTACTAAAGAAAGGGGATTTTTGGTACAAGGAGGTCAATCACTTGTAGACATTGGATTTGGAATCCGACAACATGGAGTGTATCATATAGTTCAAAGAATTTCTTTTGGACTTTGGTCCTGGTCAATCGCACCATCCCATATACCCAAATTCACATCCAACATACGATAGTGATTGTGACCTCTATGTATCAAAAATAGTTTCACCGTATATTCTTCCAAATAAAAATGCATAAAAATAATGATTAAGAAATGGAAGACTGGTATTTATTTTGGCTTATGGAAAGAATGGTTTTGGTATACATAACTGATGCATAACTGATGCATCTTAGCCTCTTGAAAGGAAAATGGCAATCCCATAAATCACAACATATTGTCTCTATGAATATCTTAGTATGAAACTCTAACCATTTTACTTAAGAATAATTCTTTGATGGAAAACCTTCTCTCTTTGTTCCAATTTTACTGGATGTTTTAAGAGAGATGACGAAAGCCCTTATCATTCAAAATTTAGCGGACGGAAGCCCAGAGAGAAAAAGAGAGAGAGAGCTTACAAAGCCAAAGCCTCCGGTCTTGTAAGTCAGCCCAGCCATCATGAAATTGTTGGGGTGGTTCGAGAGAAAGCACTTGATATATGGAATCTCATCAAAGATTGCAGCTACCCCCCCATGAGAGCTTCCCTTCAACAATGCCTTAGCATATTCATCAACCGTGTGAAGTGCCTGAAGCTTTGACCGAGCAATGCCCATCTCCTTCAAGAGATCCTCAACAAAAGAATTACCTTGGTATCCCACATTGTCTTCATTTTTTATCAGAGTTTGTATGTCTGTAACAGTGGGTTGTAATTGCTCAACAGTGAGAATTGAGGCCAAGTTTGCAGTGTAACTGCTGGTTAATATGAGAACCATAAAGAGCCATAGGATCACCACGAATCGTGTCAAATTGCTAGTTATTTTATCTCCTGGAGGGCATCAACTACAAGTTAGAGACATAAATTCATCTATGTAACTTCGAAAAATAAATTCATACAAGTGATGACATATGTTTCATTGACGGAATATGCTTACCAGACGTAAAAATTAGAAATTCAGCTCATCCAATACAACTGTTACATAGATAGTAGATTTTTATCCTATTCCGGGATTGGGTAAGAATTGACTTGTTTCTTAGTAAAAAATTAGGCATCAATTCAATTTTGAAGGAGTCACGCGGTTATGCCGAAGAATTACGCGGTTATTTATTTTTTCATTATTTTTCTAATTTTTAATTTTTAAAGTTCAAAATATTTAAAAATTTCTAGGTCAATTTTCACACAAGAGAATCAATCCGATCATCAATATGGACTAGATTTTCAGAAGGCTAGTTCACCCGGCCATTCTAGGTTTTGAAACATTGCTGCATGGTCTCACATGCTTACAACTATAAATTTTTTTAAGGAAAATACCATTAAATTCTTTCTAGTAATATTTGAGAGAATGTTTTTTTTTTTCCATTTCAAATAAATATCTCAGTAATAAAAAATTACATAAATACCTAAATTTCTGTTATTTTGTATTTAGAATGCGAAACAATCATGGGCTTTTTTGTAATTCGATCATTAAAAGGCCTAAACCAAATGACAAAAATACCCTTAATTGTTCTGCATTACAAATAAGAAATGCATTATTAGTATCAATAATGCAGAACAATCATGAGTATTTTAGTTATTTTACACTTAAATGCCTAGTACGTATCAAATTACAAAAATGTCCCTTGTTTTGAATTAATAATATTGAACATTGTGTTTCTTATTTATAATGTATAACAACTAGGAGACCATTTACCATTCTTACAAGGAGGTCGCAATTGTTTATGGCTATTAGATGTCACATTAGATGGCTTGGGGTATGTCATAAAATTTTAATTTTTTTTTAAAAAAAATTCTGAGTCTAGTAAAAGACTCATTCACAACCACTACAGGGCAAGAGTGACTGTACCTCCTTGTTAAAAGTAAATGGTATTTTTGTATACCTTTCCAATACTAAACTAGCTATGGTTTGTTTCATTGTTTAGAGACCAACAAGTGAAATAACAGCCCATACCGGTTGGCTATTCATTTCTTTTTCCATATTTCTTCCAATTCTTTTGTCTTCCCCTTGTAGCAGCCCAACAAACACTAAATTAAGAGGAAGTAAAAAAAACCATTCTCGCCCACTTAATCAGCCCATAGACCATTTGCTTTTTTTGAGAATATTATTGCAAGACTCTCGGTTCTTAAAAGAAGCGTGAATATACAAAAAAATAGGGAAAGTATTATGTAACGAGTAAAGACCATTAAGGGAGTCAAAATATTCCTATTAATGTTGGGGGTTGACTTTTTATTTTTATTTTTTTCAACTATTGCGGTTTACATAGAGCCGAGGCTCTAAACAATCAAAGCACACCTTCAAATAGTGTCGAGAAATGTGGTTTTTAATACTAGAAATCTTTGTGATAGTCTTAAAATATATTTTCATCTTTAATTATAAAATTTAAAGCTTCAAATATAGTGTAGATCTAGCATATCTATGAAAACTTGAGAATTGACTACTCAGAAATGCGATACAAGATGCACTATTTTCAAAACTTGAAATCCATTTTTTTCTCATGGCCATACATCTTGATGTCGAGATGATCAATTTGAGGATATTTGAACATCAAAACAACCTCTTGTAGTAAAATTTTTGAGGTGGGCTCTAATTTGATTGTTTAGAACCTTGGCTCTATATAAACTTTTCCCTTTAAATGATGCTCAAAGTATCATTATTAGTAATTTGACCTCGCTAGGAGGCCCAGTCAAATGATTGGAAAACCCTAGTCCGGATGCATTAAATTGTTGAAATACTTCTACTTGTTAAGGGTTCCCAACAATGAAAGGGGGACAACTAGGGCATTTTTAAAAAATGTTTTTTTGGAGTATCATATAAAATGACAATTTAAAAAATTTAAACTTTTCAATGCTCTTTAATGATTTGGCAAGGGTTTTTTATCCATCAAATTCCATATGTAATTTGATTTATTTCTCATAAAAACCAATAGAATTCCCTAAAACAAACCCAAACTACTATGCAGAAAAGGGCATTAAGTTTCTAGGGTGAGTAAGCGGAGGGATTTCTAGTTCTTGTGTGGAATCAGTGAAACAAGCCAGAAAAGGCAAAAGAGAATAAACGTCAATGGTCATTGAAATCTAGAGACTACAGGAGCATAAAATAGAAATGGAAAAAGTTTTGTATAGGGCACCAACTTTACCAACTTTAAACTATAGAAGTATCTCAAAAACTTATCAAAAAATGTTGTTCCAATGTTACAAATCCCAAAAATTATCTTGATTTCAATATGTATGGATATTAAAAAAAAAAAAGAATTTCAAGTTCTAAAAATAATGCATCTTGTTATATATTATATAGAATGTCCATTTTCTTAATTTTTAAATGTTTAAAGATTTCCTCGATTTGAACCATTTTTTAAAATTTAAATTTTATAATTAAAGATGAAAATATATTTTTATGCCATCAAAGACTTTAGTTGTTTAAGATTGCCCTATACTAATCTGACCAGATAAATATTTATAGTTTAATATGGCATATGACTAAAAACACCAATTCCTCGAAAACACTCCAACTTCACTTCTTAGTTTTCAAAAGGCTATTTAGCTACAAGGTAAAACAGAATACCTTCATCTTGTGTATATAAAACTGCATGTCATTTTCAAAAGTAAGTGACAAGAGAGTGACCAATCTCATACTTCTGGTTTTTCAAGGAGATATTATGAGAAACTCGTCCTAAAGATTCCAAATTAGGATCATTGAAATCAATGCCATCAGTATTGGACCAAATATGAAAATAGTGAAGAGTTTGGTTCAATCAAACACGTCTTAATAGGGTGGATTTGGATTCTAAAATATTTTAAAATTTTAAATAATAGTTTATTAAAGAGAAATGACACTATGAGACCCTCCCACACCCATATGAGTAGGACTCCAAAGGATCAGCATTAAATTTGGCACAGATCTCTAGAAAAGTTATCATTTAGGGTGTGGGATTTGACTTTTTTTTAGATCTGTGTCAAATTTGATGGTGATCATTTGGGGTCCTACTCACATGGGTGTGGGAGGGTCTCATAGGATCATTACTCTAGTTTAAATCTATAAAATATATTACAAACGGTTGCAAAATATTTGTTTTGTCAATCTAATCAATCAAAACCAAATAATTGGACCAGACCGGTTAAACATTTACTTTCTGCTAGTTTTTTACCACACATGAATTTTACTTTGGAGCACACCTACCATGGCTTTTTGTAAGACATTCCCCAAATGTCAAAAAAATCCATAGATTGTGTGTATGCCTTGGAGCTTTTGAATTTCCTATTTATCTCAACATAAGGTCGCAACCTTAAACAATTCGATTAAGGTGCACCTTAAAATTTTATCATAACATACAATTTTGTTGTAAAAAGTTCTTAGTATTATCTTAAAATCTATTTTCGTACCTAATTAGAAAATTTTAAATTCCAAAAATGGTAAAATCCAAGTAGATCTATAAATATATGAAAATCTTGAAAATGGACGGTCTAGATAATGTGTTGCAAGATGCACTATTTCCTAGATTCAAAAGCTTTTTTTTTTTATATTCATAGATCTCGATGTTGAGATTGTTAATTAGAGGGTTTTTTTAACATTAAAACAATAATTCCAATAGATTTAATAGATTTTTGAGGTGCCTCTGTGATTCTACATTTTAAGATTGAAACCTTACAAGATATTTGCTTCTTCCTTAGATTTTTCATAATGATTTTTGCTAATTGGTACTTACTCTGCGAAAAGATGAGCGTTGAGAAGGAGAAATACAGAGCTCTGCCTACTTGTTCACTCAGAGGACCTCGAAAATCCTCATTCATCCGGTGCTCTAGAAACCAGACCACAAACGCCATGAAAAACAAGAAACATGAAGCAGTCACCCATAGCTCCCATGTCAGTGGCTTCAAGAATGCCAGTGCGTTGCTTCCCCTCTTCTTCCTCATTGGCACGATCATCGACACACCGGGCTCTGTGTAGGGTGGCGTGAAATCGACATAATTCGATCGATTTGCGATGATCGCCACATCACCCACGACAGCATCATATTTCTATGAGCATTAACCAAATTACCAACATATCAGAAAAAAAGGAAAACAGAGAAAGGGAATGATTTATTTCAAAGAAGCATGTAAAAAAATAAAGTTTAAGTAGCAAAAAAAATAGTGACAAAAAAAAAAAAGCGAAAAATGTATTTGTAGTCTAGCGTGCTGTTCATAACAATCTAAATGTTGCCCACTTTATAAAGTCGGCTGTTTCACACTTGGCCAAAATGGTGGGTGACACACTTAAAGAACATGGTATGGGGGTAAATTAGAAGGGAAAAGGTTTTTTTTGGGTAAATAATATTTACTTTTTTATTATATTCTAATAAATAAAATCTAATCAAAATTCTTTAAACTATTATTTACTTTTGAGAAGTTCACCAAAATACATAAGAAATTTAATAATTAATATTTTCCCATGTCTTTTGATTTTTTTTCATCAGGTTCATCAAAATGCACATGATCCTGAACATGAGTTGGAATTATTGCAAACGGATAAAAATTTAGGACTAAAATGCCCATCTCCTCTCTCACTCTCTCTACCCGCCCTCTCTCTTTTCTCTCTACCCGTCCTCTCTCTCTATCCGCTTTCTCTCTCTACCCACCTTTTTTTCTCTATCCGCTCGGTCTCTACCCGTCCTCTCTCGCTCTACCCCCTCTCTCTACCCGCCCTCTCTCTCACTCTCTCTCTCTACCTGCCCTATCTTTGTACCTACCTTCTCTATCTCTCTTTCTCTTTCAATACCCGCCCTCTTTCTTCTAGATCTTTTTCTCTCTACCCATCCTCTCTCTCTTAATCTATCTCAACCCATTTTTCCCCCTTTCTCCTGAAATCTTTCTCTTCCAATCTCTCTCGGCCCATTTTTCTCCAACTCTCTCGAAATCCTTCTCTCCCAATCTCCCTTTGCCCATTTTTTTTCACTCTCTCCCAAAATCTATCTTCCAATCTCTATTCTTAGAGAGGGCGGGTAGATAGAGAGAGATTCAGAGGAGAGAGGGAGGGTAGAGAAAAAAGAGTGAGGACAAGTAGAGAGAGAAAGACAGAGAGAGGATGGGGAGAGAGAAAGATCCAGAGGAGACAGAGGGAGGGCAGGTAGAGAGAGAAAATATAGAGGAGAGATTGTCGATAGAAAGAAAGACCTAGAGGAGAGAGAGAGAGGATAGAGAGAAAGAGAGAGGGTAGGTAGAGAGAAAGAGAGTGGGTGGGTAGAGAGATAGAGACATAGAGAGAGGACGAGTAGAGGGAGGGGGTAGAGAGGGTGGGTAGAGTGAGAGGGTAAGTAGAGAGAGAGAGAGAGAAAGTGGGTAGAGAGAGAATGAGAGAGAGGGTGGGTAGAGAGAGAAAGAAAGAGACATAAGGTGGGTAGAGAGAGTGAGAGAGAAGAATGGCATTTTAGTACTAAATATTTTTGCCTTTTTTACTGGGGGGATAAAAGCAAGAAAAAACAAGATGTGATACTAAATTATTAGGGGAAGATGTCTACAAAGTTCATTTTGAGGTAACTATAATTTTCCCTAACAATTTTAGTAGTTGATAGATTAGGTGTATTTTGATAAATTTTTCAAAAGTATTTTATTTTAGAAAATTGTGCGCCTTACTTTGATCGTACAAATCACACCTTTTTATTTTTAGGGACCGTTTGTATAGAGCCAAGACTCTAAACAATCAAAGTAGAGCGCACCTTCAAATAGTGTCGAGAAATGTGGTTTCAATACTAGAAATCTCTGTAATAGCCTTAAATATATATATCTTCATCTCTGATATAAAATTTAATGCTTAAAAAATAGTGTAGATTGAGCAGATCTATAAAAACTTGAAAATCTTGAAAATTGATGGTCCAAAAATGTATTACAAGATGAACTATTTCCAAAACTTAAAATCTATTTTTTTCCAAAATATATTTCAAGATTTTCAAGTGTTTATAGATATGCTCGATCTACACTATTTTTTAAGCTTTAAATTTTATAATTAGATATAAAAATATACTTTCATGTCTTCACAAAGATTTCTAATATTGAAGGCGTACCTTACCTTGATGTACAAACCACACCCTTTAATGAACGGTACAGTTGGCATATGGACGCCTCCGTAGGTGTAGAGGTAAGGTGCCCTTCAAATTTTATCATGGTATATAATTTTGATGTAAAATGTTATTAGGATTATCTCAAAATCTATTTTTATCTCTAATTATAAAATTTTAAATTTAAAAAATGGTTAAAATCAAGTATATCTATAAACATATGAAAATATTGAAAATGGACAGTGTAGATAATATATTGTAAAATGCACTATTTCTGAGACTTAAAATCTTTTTATTTTTCATAGTCATACATCTCGATGTCGAGAAGATCAATCACAGGGTTTTCCAACATTAAAACTACCTCTTTCGATGGATTTTTTGAGGGGCATCCGCGTATTTCTACATTATAAGCTAGCATCCTTATATAAACTCTTTCCTTTAATGAATAGAGAGAAAGATTACAAACAATTTTAATGAGAGAGAAAACGAAGAGGCTTAGCAATTATTTCATGGATGGAGAGAGATGGAGAGAGATGTAGGGGTGGCAATAGGTTGTGTCCGGCTAGACCCGGACGTGCATAGTATTTGGGTCAAATATTTGGACCCGTACCCAGATCCATCGGGTCCCTGGTCGAATCCTGCCCTATGATTCTTTCTTCTTTTTTTTCCCTTCTTTTTTACTATCATATACCCTATGACTATGAGCTTCTTTTTAATTGCCAAAAATACTATAAAATTGTCCCAATATTGTGACAATATGAACACTAACGCTCGCCTAAAGATACATGATTGCCATCGTATACCTTATGACTACGAATATGGTTCGGGTTCGGCTAGACCCCGGCCCAGACCTGAATAGTATTTGGGTCCAAATTTTGGCCCTATAACCGGACCCGAGGTTGGGTATACCAATCGGGTCTGGTCAAGTCAAGTCCCATAGAGAGATGGCAAAGCATTTGATTTTAAGTCGACTTACCCCAAGAAATACCTGGTAAACCAAGTCATTGTAAGTGCCGGCTGTCTTCCTTTGATTGTCAGCAAAAGGAACGTACTCGTACTCCAGTCTGTAGGGCAACGCCCTCACAACCGCATCAAACACATCAACTGAAAACCCCATAGCCCTCGATCTCCCATCCAACGGCCCCCATTCCACCTTCAAAAACTCACGAAACCCCTCTGTAACTGGAACCCCAATCTTCATCTTGCTCCCATTAGTGGTGACCACCCAACCACTGGGGATCACTGTCGATTCCCCGGGCCAGATCACCAGCCCCAAATTTGCCACATCATCAACCATCTTATCGATCTTTTTCCTGTTAATCTCCCTTGAAATTCCTGTTTCCAACGACCAAAACCCAATTTCTCTCACACTTTTGCCCACAACGTTCACTATTTCAAAAGATGAGCCTTGTATTTCACCATTGACAAACAGGAGATTGCCATTTAAGCCCTTGAGTTTGATGTCTAATAGGGCACTTAATAGCCGCGGGCCCGTCGACGAAATCCCAGTCAAATTCCCAGCCGTTTGTCCTGTGATAGGTTGCCGGGAGCCGACATTCTCGACGCCGGATTTCTCCATTGCCAAAGCCAAAACCCTAGTTGCATCATAGGCTCTTAAACAAAATGCATTGACATGAGGGATCTCAATTTCATTTGGGTACTCTTTCCTATAATATCTCTTATATCTATATGAGAAGTTATCCAAACGCTTAGTCTCTTCAATGTACGCTCTCACTCCTAAAACCCCTTGCATTGAGTCTATGATCCAAGGATCCATAGAATTCAACAAGCTTGCAAGCCCATCTGTTATGATCCAAGCATAGTCTCTGCTCATCATGCCGAGCTGTTTAGCATGTCGAAAGAAGCGCGAGGCGAGAGGCGACGACATGTGGACTATAAAAACCCTAGTTTGCATGGTCATGACTTTGTGGAGCTCCTTTTTTATCAGTTCATCACTTGCATAAGAGGGGATAAGGCCTCCAAGGTGAAGGTGAGAGCCAATATCTATGAGAGCATCATTTAAGTATGGTACGAAGCCGGCTCCGTAATCGGTGTCTTCGCATATGGCAATGGCTTGTCTCCATTTGAAGAATTTGATGAGAGAGGCAATGGGTTTGGCTTGGATTGAGTCACTGAGTGTTGCTCTAATGAAATAAGGGGTGTGGGTTGTGGAGAGAGAAGGAGAGGTTGCAGAGAAGGACATAATGGGGATTTGGGATTTGTTGGCAACATTTGATAAAAATTGTGCTTCTGTTGATGTTTGAGGCCCAATTATCGCTTGCACCTCTACATTGTTGATGAGGTCCAAAGCTGATTAAAAATGAAAGAGTTTACATCTCAAAATGAATGAGTCATTACAATTTATGTTCATCGAAAATGAGGCTTAAAGCTAGAGAATCCATCAAAAGAAAACAACATTTTTCCGCAAAGAAACCAAAGACAAATATTGGGTTGTGTAGCACACTTCTAGTTGTTCGATCTCACATCTAATTGCTGGATGTGATTGTGATCTCTTTATACATAAAATAACAGTGTTACTTGATACTCCCCAAAACCTAAAGCTTCTAACTTTCAAAGATGTGTTGTTTTGGTATATTAAATGGAGAAAGATTTACTTTACATGTAATGAGTACCATCCATCATTTGGGATGGGCGGTGGAGAAGAACTGCATATCTGCTTGATGCACAAGCGCAAGCATTTAGGTTTGAGGTGAGAAACATCTCCCATATCCATCCTCAATGAGACAGATGGTGGATGGGAGTGTGTGTTATAGGTGTGAAGCGTATAAGTTTGCTTTCCACTTCCTCCAAAATGCAGGATCATGTAAAGTGATCGTGATCATCTCAATGGTGCAACTCATAGTTCAGAAAATCGACTCGGCCAGGGTACCCACACCTGGCCCAGGTGAGTCATTTGGCCAAGTCTGAGTAACTCAGTGAAGTTCATATCATGTTAAAAAATAATAATAATAATAACAAATAAATTATGGTCTATATATAGGGTGTGGTTTCTATAAGGTTAACAATTCAATTAAGGCGCACCTCGATCATAACATGTAATTTTGGTGTAAAAATTATTAGGATTATCTGAAAATATATTTTAATATCTAATTACAAAATTTTAAACTCCAAAAATAATTAAAATCAAGTAGATTTATAAATATATGAAAATCTTAAAATTGGACGGTCTAAATAATGCGTTGCAAAATGCACTATTTTGGGGAGTCAAAATCTTTTGGTTTTTTATATTCATATATCCCGATGTCTAGATGATCAAGTAGAGGGATTTTCAACATTAACACAACCTTTTCCAATGGATTTTTGAGGTGCATCTGTAATTCTATATTTTAAGGTTGCAACCATATATAAACTTTTTTCTTATATACAATAAGATACTTATTCTCATCAGGGGCATTCGTGTAGCTTACTGGCAAGAGAGAGAGAAGAGAGAGATTATATCAGCAAAAAGAAAGAGAAAGCACCAGCTGAAGCTGCCTGCACAACGTCTCTACCAGAATCTCTCCTAGAGAGATGTAGTCTAGTGTTGAAGTTGTGGTGCTCCCTATAGAAATCTTCAATAGCCATGCTTATGCACATATTGCTCACTCTCCCAACCAATGAATCCATAGCCAAAACCACACCCACTTGGACAACTCCTCTCGACCCATTTGCTTCTGCAATTTGTGCAAAACATTGGTGTAAGGAGGCAATGAAAACACAGAGGAAAAAAACACTCTTTATTTTTTTTCTCGAGTCCATATGCAGATCAAAATCGGGCTGTTATGAAGTTGATGGTGCGTGATAGAGATCTAGGATCCCGTATATCCTTGATTTCTTCTCTGCTTTTTACTTCTCTCTAAAACAAGATTTTTTTGCCGGTTATTGGAGGCCAATGTCTCACTCCCACGGAGGCAAAAGTACCCTTGATTTTCTCGATAAATCCATAAATCTCCCCCTTTCTCATACGTCAAAGAAAATAAGTTAAAGAAGAAAAGGCGATGGAATCTCATTTTCCACGAAGAATTTCTCCCTTCCTACGTTGAAGGGATCATTCTTTCCTTCCGAGGCTCCTTTTCAGTAGCTATTTTGTTTTCTTCTTTATAATATCAGCCCATGTAGCATGCAGGAGCTTACTGTATATTAACTCTTTTCGAGATGCACACATTAGTACACCATTCTCGCTATAAATTTTTTAATAACATGAGATATTCCCATTGATTAAACCAAAAAAACTCCTTTGGCAAAAGAGTTATTTTGAGAATTGTTTTTTTTATTAAAATTGTGAGAATCATTACATGATTATTTATGAAAAATATTGAGACTTTGAGTTTTTTCAATACTTAGATCTGGCCCATCAAAAATTGAGACATCTTTGTTTTATCTTGAGACTTTTATCGAGGTGATTTAAAGCATTTTTTTTTCTTTTTTTTTTTAAGGTTGGTCTCTAGGTTCAAAAGGTTAGAACCCTGAAATTAGAGGCCCTAAAAATGCTCTTAGCTTGAGTTTTATCGGAAGGAGCAAATGGATGACTTGCTCACCTGAGACCAGTAAATCTTTTCACTTATATAATAATATTATTTTTGCATATGGATTTTTTAGTCTTACGGTCTTTGCCATTGAATAGGGGCAAGCAATGGCAACCACACTTTCAGCTACCTTAAAAAACCAATTCTTAAACAATTTGGAAAAAAAAGGTAGGGCTTTGTCTTCCCCCATTGAATTATCCAAAGAAAAAAACAAAACAAAATTGCCACCAAAATTGGGAGTGTACCGCTCCAGGCATTACATCAGAGTTGAGCCATAGCTTGACTTCAAATTATAGGATTTCTTATATTGCCTCTTATGCTTGTAAAAAGTACGATCATGTCCCTTTAGTTTGTGTACTAGGGTTGGCAATGGGTTGGGTAGTGTGGCCCGCCCCAACCCGGCTTAGCCCTAAAAAACTTGGGCCAGGGGTGGTGAGGGTAGGGCTAGGCCTGGCCTCGGCAAGGTCGGCCCGTTCAGCCTCATCCAGCTGCACTCTCTTAGCTTTTTTCTTAGACTATTAATTTTGATTTTATTTTCCAGCCCGATGGGATTAGGATAAGGCTGGCCTGGCTCAGGACCGGCCCATGGCCAGCCCTATTTATATGTCAAGTGTTGGCAATGTAGTACTAAAGGCTGGAATGGGTCGGTTCGGGAGACCTAACTAGTCCTAAGTTTGACCTACTATATTATATACTTAAATATCATTATATGTATTTATATTAATATGCGTTGGGTTGGGTAGTCACCGACCTGACCCCACAAGATCTAAGTTAGACCCAGATGTGGACTCAACTGAGGTTAAGTCAAGATCAGATAAACCTAAACTCGACCCCTTTGATCGAAAATCTAGGTTCTAATCCAAACCCGGTCAGTTGTGCATCAGGTTTGGATCCCCTAGAAGTAATAATACTCCCACTTCTTTC